CAAACTACGTCATCACAAAACTATTGTATACAAACTACGTGATCACAAAACTATAGTTTACAAACTACGTGATCACAAAACTATAGTGTACAAACTACGTGATCACAAAACTATTGTATACAAACTACGTCATCACAAAACTATTGAATACAAACTACGTTATCACAAAACTATAGTATTAAAACTACGTCATCACAAATCTATTGTATACAAACTACGATATCACAAAACTATAGTTTACAAACTACGTCATCACAAATCTATTGTATACAAACTACAATATCACAAAACTATAGAATACAAACTACGTGATCACAAAACTAAAGTATACAAACTACGAGATCGCAAAACAATTGTATACAAACTACGTCAACACAAAACTATTCTATACAAACTACGATATCACAAAACTATAGAATCCAAACTACGTCATCACAAAACTAAAGTATACAAACTACGAGATCGCAAAACTATTGTATACAAACTACGTGATCACAAAACAAAAGTATATAAACTACGATATCACAAAACTATAGAATACAAACAACGTCATCATAAAAATTTGGGAAAAAAAAATACGTGCTCACAAAACTATAGAATACAAACTACGTCATCACAAAACTATTGTATACAAACTACGTGATCACAGAACCATTTATACAAACTACGTCATCAAAAATCTATTGTATACAAACTACGATATCACAAAACTATAGAAAACAAACTACGTCATCACAAAACTCTAGTTTACAAACTACGTCATCACAAAACTATTGTATACAACCTACGTGATCACAAAACTATAGAGTACAAACTACGTGATCACAGAACCATTTATACAAACTACGTCATCACTAATCTATTGTATACAAACTACGTCAACACAAAACTATAGAATACAAGCTACGTGATCACAAAACTATTGTATACAAACTACGTCATCACAAATCTATTGTATACAAACTACGTCATCACAAGACTATTGTATACAAACTGCGTCATCACAAAACTATAGTTTACAAACTACGTCATCACAAAACTATAGAATACAAACTAAGTGATCACAAAACTATAGTGTACAAACTACGTGATCACAAAACTATAGAATACAAACTACGTGATCACAAAACTATAGTTTACAAACTACGTGATCACAAAACCATTTATACAAACTACGTCATCACAAGACTATTGTATACAAACTACGTCATCACAAAACTATAGTTTACAAACTACGTCATCACAAAACTATAGAATACAAACTACGTCATCACAAAACTATAGTGTACAAACTACGTGATCACAAATCTATTGTATACAAACTACGTCATCACAAAACTATAGTGCACAAACTACGTCATCACAAAACTATAGTGTACAAACTACGTGATCACAAAACCATTTATACAAACTACGATATCACAAAACTATAGAATACAAACTACGTCATCACAAAACTATAGTGTACAAACTACGTCATCACAAAACTAGTGTACAAACTACGTGATCACAAAACCATTTATACAAACTACGATATCACAAAACTATAGAATACAAACTACGTCATCACAAAACTATAGTGTACAAACTACGTGATCACAAAACTATAGTTTACAAACTACGTGATCACAAATCTATAGTGTACAAACTACGTGATCACAAATCTATAGTGTACAAACTACGTCATCACAAATCTATTGTACAAACTACGTGATCACAAAACCATTTATACAAACTACGATATCACAAAACTATAGAATACAAACTACGTCATCACAAAACTATAGTTTACAAACTACGTGATCACAAATCTATAGTGTACAAACTACGTCATCACAAATCTATAGTATGCAAACTACGTCATCACAAATCTATTGTATACAAACTACGTCATCACAAAACTATAGAATACAAACTACGTGATCACAAAACTAAAGTATACAAACTACGAGATCGCAAAACTATTGTATACAAACTACGTGATCACAAAACAAAAGTATACAAACTACGATATCACAAAACTATAGAATACGAACAACGTCATCACAAAACTTTTGTATACAAATTACGTGATCACAAAACTATAGTGTACAAACTACGTCATCACAAAACTATAGTGTACAAACTACGTGATCACACGAGATCGCAAAACTATTGTATACAAACTACGTGATCACAAAACTAAAGTATACAAACTACGAGATCGTAAAACTATTGTATACAAACTACGTGATCACAAATCTATAGTGTACAATCTACGTCATCACAAATCTATAGTATACAAACTACGTCATCACAAATCTATAGTATGCAAACTACGTCATCACAAATCTATTGCATACAAACTACGTCATCACAAACCTATGGTATACAAACTACGTCATCACAAATCTATAGTATACAAACTACGTCATCACAAACCTATAGAATACAAACTACGTCATCACAAAACTATAGTTTACAAACTACGTGATCACAAATCTATAGTGTACAAACTACGTCATCACAAATCTATAGTATACAAACTACGTCATCACAAATCTATTGTATACAAACTACGTCATCACAAAACTATAGAATACAAACTACGTGATCACAAAACTAAAGTATACAAACTACGAGATCGCAAAACTATTGTATACAAACTACGTGATCACAAAACAAAAGTATACAAACTACGATATCACAAAACTATAGAATACAAACAACGTCATCACAAAACTTTTGTATACAAATTACCTGATCACAAAACTATAGAATACAAACTACGTCATCACAAAACTATAGTATACAAACTACGATATCACAAAACTATAGAATACATACTACGTCAGCACAAAACTTTGTATACAAACTGCGTATTCATAAAACTATTGTATAAAAACTACCTCATCAGCGTACTACAGAGTTACGTAGAATATTATTTTATGTTTCTCTCCTTTTTATGGAGGCTTATATATGACACATAAAACTGTAGAGATGGGTTCAATAACATATTCCATCGACAAGGCATAAAAGCGGGTCACATGCGGAAGTCAGTACACTGCCATTAAATGTAATTTGCGGGCGGTTAACCATCCAACTACTGACCACGCTCGACGTTGCTGACCTTGTGAGCGGGTCCCCAGATCTTGCCAGTAAGGTAATAAGTCCCCTCATACACCTTAGCTGTTTAAAAGCCACCGGAGCGGTTAGTTAAGCGATCAGATAAATATAGGCTCCAAAATGATCATGACAAACAAAAAATAACCGAAAAAAATCACATTTCTGTTTGTGCCTCTTAACTGACGCGATGGAGCCTGGAACCGTTCTAGCACTTATAGATACAATCACATCTATACTAGTCTGTTAGGGGGCTCAATCAGAGAGATAGCATGTCTAAAGCGAGCATTCAAATCACACCATATGCCAGATCTAGACGTATCAAAGCTACCCATCTGGCATACAGGTATCAGTTATTGCTTCCGACATGCTCACGTGCAGTCACAGGTACACTTAGGTAATACAGGTATGACGTCATCATGATGCCAATAGCAGTATATATAACCCGGCTATCAAACTTTGGTAAATGCAGGTATCGTAAATGTGGCGGTGGTCTTGGTTGTTATACTTATCATTCCAGATGTCTATGGAATTCCACTAGATTTTATTCTTTATCCGAGTTATTTTGTGTAATGCGCAATAGCCTATGGTGTATTTGATGATGAACACTACATCTCATGGGTCTCAACACTATACACAGGGACCTCAACACTATATATATGGACCTCAACACTACACCTCAAGGAACTCAACACTATACACAGGGACTTCAACACTATACACAGGGACCTCAACACTATACACAGGGACCTCAAAACTATACACAGGGACCTCAACACTATACACAGGGACCTCAAAACTATACACAGGGACCTCAACACTATACACAGGGACCTCAACACTATACACAGGGACCTCAACACTACACCTCAAGGAACTCAACACTATACACAGGGACCTCAACACTATACACAGGGATATCCCCCCTATATACAGAGACCTCAACACTATACAGAGGGACCTCAACACTTTATACAGGGACCTCAAAACTATACACAGGGACCCCAACACTACACCTCATTGGTCTTACCCAACACTATACACAGCAACCGCAAGGCTATATATAGTGACCTCAACACTATATACAGGGACCTCAACAATATACACAGGGACCTCGACACTATACACAGGGACCACAAGGCTATATATAGTGACCTCAACACTATATACAGGGACCTCAACATTATACACAGGGACCTCAACACTATACACAGGGACCTCAACACTATTTACAGGGACCTCAACACTATACACAGGAACCTCAAGGCTATATATAGGGACCTCAACACTATACACAGGGACCACAAGGCTATATATAGGGACCTCAACACTATACACAGGGACCTCAACGCTATATACAGAGACCTCAACACTATACACAGGGACCTCAACACTATACACAGGGACCTCAACACTATATACAGGGGTCACTACATTATATCTTAGGGGCCTTACCACTTTACCCCAGGGACCTCAACACAACACCCTAGAGGCATCAACACTACACCCCAGGGGACTCAACACAACACCCCATGGGCCTTACCACTACACCCGAGGGCCTCAACACCGTACCTCAGGGAACTCAACACAACACCCCGGGGACCTCAACACTACACCCCAGGGGCCTCAACACAACACCCCATGGGCCTTACCACTACACCCCAGGACCTCAACACAACACCCCGAGGGTCTTACCACTACAACCCAGGGCCTCAAAACTAAACCCCATGGGTCTTACCACTACACCCAAGGCCTCAAAACTACACTCCATGGGTCTTACCACTACACCCTAGGGCCTCAACACTACACCCCATGGATCTTACCACTATACCACAGGGCCTCAACACTACTCCCCATGGGTGTTACCACTACACCCCAGGGCCTCAAAACTACACCCCATGGGTCTTACCACCACAACCGAGGGCCTCAACACTACACCCCAGGGCCTCAACACTACACCCCAGGGCCTCAAAATTACACCCCGTGGGTCTTATCACTACACCCAGGGCCTCAACACTACACCCCATGGATCTTACCACTACACCACAGGACCTCAACACTACTCCCCATGGGTGTTACCACTACACCCCAGGGCCTCAAAACTACACCCCATGGGTCTTACCACTACAAACGAGGGCCTCAACACTACACCCCAGGGCCTCAACACTACACCCCACGGGTCTTACCACTACACCCCAGGGCCTCAACACTACACCCCACGGGTCTTACCACTACACCCCAGGGCCTCAACACTACCCCCAATGGGTCTTACCACTACACCCCAGGGCCTCAAAAGCACACCCATGGGTCTTACCATTACACCAAGGGCCTCAACACTACACCACAGGGGCTCAACACTACACCCCAGGGCCTCAAAACTACCCCCCAAGGGTCTTACCACTACACCCCAGGGCCTCAAAACTACACCCCACGAGTCTTACCACTACACCCCAGGGCCTCAACACTACACCTCATTGGTCTTACCACTACACCCCAGGGCCTCAAAAGTACACCCATGGGTCTTACCATTACACCAAGGGCCTCAACACTACACCACAGGGACTCAACACTACACCCCAGGGCCTCAAAACTACACCCCAAGGGTCTTACCACTACACCCCAGGGCCTCAAAACTACACCCCACGGGTCTTACCACTACACCCCAGGGCCTCAACACTACACCCCAGGGCCTCAACACTACACCCCAGTGCCTCAACACTACACCCCATGGGTCTTACCACTAAACCCCAGGGCCTCAAAACTACACCCCGAGGGTCTTACCACTACACCCCAGGGCCTCAAAACTAAACCCCATGGGACTTACCACTACAGCCAGGGCCTCAAAACTACACCCCATGGGTCTTACCACTACACCCCAGGGCCTCAACACTACACCCCGAGGGTCTTACCACTACACCCCATGGCCTCAACACTACACCCCATGGGTCTTACCACTACACCCAAGGGCCTCAA